CCCGCCTCACCAAGGGCCCTCCCTTTTCCCTTCGAGCGCTCATCCGACAGTGTCAACTTACCCATCGCAGCCGCATCATCCCCCGTTGGGATCCGGACCTCCGCATCCGCCAACTGGAACAGGGCCGCACTGTCTACTTCCTGGCCAGAGCTCACACCTTCAGCCCCAAGCACCAACCAGTATTGCCACCCCTACCGCCTCCGGGTTCTGTCCTCATCCTGGCTCGGTCTCCCTTCCGCATGGCGTACAAGGACCTCAGCAGGCATCTCCGTTGCCCGGGCAGATCCCTATCCACAGAGCCCAGGTGCCGCCGACGTTTCAAAACAATTATCATGGTTCAGGGTGGCATTAAAAACCGGACCCCCCCCCTCTTCCTCCTCCTCAACTCCCCCCTCCTTCCTCGCTTCTAAACATTTTAAAAATGTTCTGTAAAAATCTGTATATTTCATATGTACCTGTTCAAGGTACTTTTTAAAGCTTGTACATTATACTTTGTATAAAAGCGAACACCAGTGCGCGCGTGCTTTTCATCGTATTCTTTCCAGTTTTTGCTTTTTTTAAAAAGAAAAAATCCCTAAATCTCTGCGGCGAAAGCCAGTGGGTTTTTTTTTTAGGAATTTTTTTTTTAATTATTATTTTGTACATGAACATTCCAGCTCTGTTTGTTCTGGCAGTAAGATTTGTTGCTGCATAACTTTTAAATTTTTATCGTTGCAGTTAAAAACTTCATTTAGTGAATGTTTTCTATATTTACTTTTTATACATATGTAATTAAAAAAGTACACAGCTAAGTGGACGGCACTAACAGATTTCTTTCTCTTTTTTTCTTCATCTGTCAACAGTTTTTGTGTGCATATAGTAGAAGGCGCAATACAGATATTTTTTATAGTTTGGTGTGAACATGGCTCCTTTCTTTTCAAGACTTCTTTTCAGACATTGTAATTTAATGTATAGATTGTTTCTAATGTCTCTGACAAGTGCTGTAAATACTGTTCCTTTTGCGTGTAAAACTGCTTAATGCTTCTCATTTGATATAGTATTGTACATATGAGTCTTTTGCAAAAGCGTGTGATCTTTGTGAAAGTAGTACAGTATATGAACTTTTAATTTTTTTTTAATATACTGTCACATTGCAGCACTGGTTGGGCATTTTAATTCATGTTAATAAATCACAATTATGTCAGTTTTAAACCCTCTTGTTTTGCGAATTTGCTGTTTTCAGAAAGTGTACGTTTGAAAGGGTGTTGTGGGTACCTCAGCGGACTTAACCTGGGCCAAAGGAGGCTTCTATTCGCTGAGAGCAAGAAATGCAAACATGGAGCCAGTTAAATCCAAAGGACTCTGAAGAAATTTAACAACTGGCAGCCATTTTTTTCCTGAGCATTAGAACAATTAATCAGTGGAACAACTTGCCACCAGAAGTAGTGGATGCTCCAACACTGGAAGTATTTAAGAAGAGATTGGACAACCAATTGTCTGAAATGGTACAGGGTTTCCTACCTAGGCAGGAGGTTGGACTAGAAGACCTCCAAGGTCCCTTCCAACTCTTGTTGTTCTACTCTACTCTACCCAACATAATAGTGCTGTCTTGAGGAAATTGCTACCCCTGCTAGCAGCAGAAACTACTACAGCTAGTAGTGTGCTATTTATCAAATGGCATTCTTCAATGCAAAACACTACAGGTAGTCCTTGACTTACAACAGTTCGTTTAGGAACCGTTCAAAGTTACTACGCCACTGAAAGGTGGCTTCCCACTGTTTTTCAGTTACGACCATTGGCTTCCCTGTGATCATGCGATCAAAATTGGCAACCGGTTCTCATATATATATGACCATTGCTGTGTCCAGGGGTCATGTGAGCCTCCTTTACAACCTCCTGAGAAGCAAAAGTCAAGGGGGAAGACAGATTTACTTAATCAGGTTACTAACTTATCAAGTGCAGCAATTCACTTAACAACCGGGGCAAGGAAGGTTATAAAATGGGGCAAAACTCAAGTTAACAAATATCTCACTTCGCAACAGAAATGTTGGGCTCCATTACCTGTCTTCTTTGACACTTCATATCGCAAGCGCCTTTTGGACTACACAACCCAAATCCATTCACATTCAGGATGCCCGAGACAGGAATAGCTAGGCAAATCATAATAATGTTATATATTCTACCTCCAGACTACCGATCTTGACTGTGCTGTTGGTACAGGTAGTCTTCAACTTACAACAGTTCATTTAGTGACCGAAGTTACAACATCACTGAAAAAAGGGACGTTTTTTTTATACTTAATGACCGTTGCAGCATCCCCCTGGTCATGTGATCAAAATTCAGAAGCTTAGCAACTGACTCTGGTTGCAGTGTCTGGAGTCATACAATCCCCTACTGCGACCTGACAAGCAAAGTCAATGGGGAAGACAGATTCATGGTGTGCCTAACTCAGAGGTAAGCAATCCGTAGCTCTGGAGCTACATGTGGCTCTTACATCCCTCTGCTGTGGCTCCCTGTCTCAAAATATGCATCACAACCACCAATGTGCAACACTTGCCGGCACGTGATTTATTGAGCTTTTTGATCCATGGTAGGCTAACCATGGATAAATCCAAGAAAAGTTTCAGAAGAAAACAGAACATTTAATTCAACTATATATGCTAGTTCGTGGCCGCTCAGGAAATAGTCGGGCACGGGAAAGATTTTGTGGCTCCCGGAGTTTTCTGTGGGAAACAGGTCCAAATGACTCTGAGTGTTTAAGGTTGCCGACCCCTTGGCCTAATTTAACAACTGCAGCAATTCGCTTAACTGGTAACAGTCATAAAACAGAAAAACGTTAACAAATGTCTCGCTTAGAAACAAAACGTTGGATTCCATTGTGGCCATAAGTGAAGGACTACCTGTACCGATAAAACCTGGTAATAGAAAAGAACTACCTATATTGTATTGGGGCAACATAAAGTAACTACAATTTCGGTTTCCGTGAATTATAGTCCATCCTTGCCAGTGTATGCTACAATTAGCATAATATTATAAGCTGAAATGAGAAGTAGCTGGTTCCTTCCTACTACCTACATGAAGCAGAATTTCTTCTTACCTGCTTCCTGGATTATTTAAAGGTTCCCCTCGCATGTACGTGCTAGTTGTTTCCGGCTCTAGGGGCCGGTGCTCATCTCCGTTACAAAGCCGAAGAGCCAGCGCTGTCCAAAGACGTCTCTGTGGTCATGTGGCTGGCAGAACTAAACGCCAAAGGCGCATGGAACACTGTGACCTTCCCACCAAAGGGGTCGTTATTTTTCTACTTGCATTTTTAACGTGCCTTCGAACTGCTAGGTTGGCAGAAGCTGTGACAAGGAATGGGATCTCACTCCATTACACGGCGCTAGGGATACGAACTGCCGACCTTTCTGATCGACGAGCCCAACGTCTCAGCCACTGAACCACCGCGTCCTTCCATTAGATGGACACAATAAATAAAGCCCTTCTCAATTTAGCAGGCTAGCCTTTCTTTAAAGTTACTCCAGGGGGCGCCACATACACACCCACGGATTGCAGGGTTTCCGCAGAGAGAGGAAAGCAGCCCAATAAACCAAGCTGCTACTGGGGAAGACTCGGGGTCCAAAAATAAAATAAAATTGCTGAGTGGGATCTTTGCTGGGTCATTGTCACCAAATTCCAATGGAGATCCAGCAACGACTTCACTTTGTGTATCCCATGGAAATGAACACGGTCTCAAGCCAGATGTAAAATCACCTCCTTTTTATATAGTACATAAATAGAATACAGATTGCAAATAATCATCGGGGACAAGCCACTCAAACCAAAGCAACTCTTCCATAATCCTTGTTCCGCAACACCCCCCGCCCTCACATTACCCCTACCCACCCAACCCCGGGGAAGAATTTCAGTGAAGGGCAAGGACAACAACCATCCAGGAACGCTGTTCCCTCCCTTGAATCGAAGATTTGCATATTGCCGTAAGCCAATCGGGGCAAAGCATGATAAGAGGCCCTTCTCCAATTGATTAGGTTCTTTGCAAGGCTGTTAAACCAATGAGACACTGAGGTCCTTGGCACTCTCTGAGCTGGGTGGGTTTTCTGGCAGACGTCTCCTGACCCAACTAGGTAACGTCATCAGTGCCAAGTTTCCTAGTTTGGGGCCCTCAAACATCTGTGAGAAACCACGCAGGTCGGAGAACACCGAGGACCCTTAATGTCAACCCTGAACTACAAATATTCTCGTCGATCAAATGCAAGACGCTGCATCCTTCGGAAAGGGATTGGTAATAAAGCAAATTTATGATGCATGGATTTTTTTTCTTTCTTTTGGAAACGTGGTTTGTACTGATAGTCCTTTTATGGGCTCTGTCTGGTTCCGTCCAAAATCTGTATCTACGACTGCTCTCTTGGAAAAGCTACGGTTGCGTACAAGCATCCTAGCAACTAGCACCACATTTGCTGCAAAAGGATTTAACTCGCCTTCCGGAATATATATATAGCAAGGCTGAGATGTCTTATTTCGCCTCACTCTGCTTTTGAGGTTTGTTTGTTTGTTTGTTTGAATAAACATTTGAAAAACAAAAAAAGGCAAATGCCTCTGAATCCCTGGCCGGTTTGATTTTTCTAACAAACACCGAATGAGTAAAAATGCCGTTTCGCATTTGTCCCCTTTCCCAAAAACAATCCAGAGGGAGCAGGACAATTTCTGAAAAAAGAAAAACAACCACTTTAATTAAGACAACTGCAAGCACCTCAAACAATTAATTATTGTTACAATATGGGGGGGGGAGAGAGAATCGTCTCACAATCTAAGTATTGCAAAAGGCATGTGAATAACTTTTTAAAATGGACAAAAGTGGCACCGTAATTAATATGTAAAACCAGAAATAAATTTACATTCATTCCCACCGACTTTTTTTTTTAAAAGAGGCTAAAAGACACCTCTGTATTTTACATTCTAAAATCTGTATTGCCTAGAAGATCTCTTTTTGGAATCTACTTTTCTTCTTTTTTTCTTTTTTCTTTTTCTTCTTTTAATACAAAAAAACACCTAACTTTTTTGTGTGCAACTTACAAAAGGAAGATTACTTCCTCAATATGTCGATTATGGGGGAGGAAAAAAAAAATAAGCTAGTGCAATTTGTTTCTGAAACAGGTAAAGCTATGAATGGAAGGTGCATGATCTTTTCATTTTTTAATGTAAGGTTTGTATCATTTCTGCTTCTTTCTTTCTTTTTCCTCCTTTAAAAGGACTGCCTTTTTTTTTTAAATCATCCACAGTTCTGCACAAAAAATGCTTCCAAGATTTTCTTTAAATTCTTCAGCCTTACAGGGGAAAAAAAGCAGTTTGCTCTTGCTATGCCATCACCTCACAACTGGAAAGCAAATGACATCTTATTAAAGTCACTCAAATATATATATATATATATACACACACATATATATATTTTCCGTACACTTCAGACTTCCTTTAAAGTGCCTCTTGGAGAGAGTGAGAAATTTTAGAAATCAAGAGTCACTTTTCTTTCGAAATCCAATTATCAGCTACCGAAAGGGACGTTTACGTAACTCCCTAAAGCAAAACCCACCACATGCAATTGGTATACTAAAGTCACTTTCAATTGAATAGCTTTAACTCTGCAACTTGTGCCGCATCCCCGTTTTTGTTTCTTTGTTTTAGTTTTAAATGGAAATAAACATTTACAGGGTGCATTTACATAACGCTATTTTACAAAGAACAAGGTCCCTTTTGCTTGAAGATAAGAATTGTACATTTTCCGAATTCGGACTCGATAAACGTCTCACACTTGTAAATTATATAATATTCAGCTAAAATAGTTTCCATAAATAGTTACAAACCTGCCTGAAACACAGTAAAGGGAAGAGAATGGAGGAGATGTGCTTCCAAAAGGTCAATGTTTGGATTCCACACAACACAAGAAACAATGCTTTAAAGACACAGAGTAAGTTTGGGGGGTGGGGTATGTTTGGAGACAGTCAGTAGAACTACTAGTTGAAGACAAAAACGACACTCCTTCCTCCTTTCTCCTCCTCCCCAGAACACAGTGCACGAAAAAGCAAAAAAAAAAAAAAGTCAGAACAGTACCTCCAAAGTAAAAAATAAAGGACTGGGATTGAAGCCATCCTGTTAAAAGAGCATTTTATGACAAGTCACCGTGGCTTTTTTTTAGGTTTGATGCGTGGAGAAAGGGAGGGCTGGCCCGATGGGGTTTTGATCCAAGGCTCCTGCTACAAATTCAGCCAAGGGTGCCGAAGGCATTCACCAGCGGAGGCTCGTTTTTCCGGAACCATTTCTAACATGGGGATCAGGAAATCGGTAAACTCCGCCGCGTCTTCCTGAGGCCAACCGTATTTCTCCACGAGAACATCAAAGAGGCTCCAGGGTTTCAGCTTGGTGATGTGCCGGAGTTCTCCTGCGTTCATGGGAAAGGCAGAAGAGAGAAAAGGGTTAGTTTCTGCGTGCGTCGAGATGTGATCGGAATCTCTTTTGAGTTTTGGGAAGGCAGCCGTACCCTGTTTCCCCAAAAATATGACCTACCCTGAAAGTAAGTCCTAGCTTGATTTTTTACATGTGCGTCCAATATAAGCCCTATCCGGAATATAAGCCCTAATTAAGATCCTGCCCACTCCAGAGTGGACGGGTAAAAATTAAGCTAGGGTAGGGATGAGGGGTGGAGCTGCCCTACTATTTACCTTTGGACAGTTGTAGCCAGGCCTTGCACACCCAGACACCTGCCTTGCCGGCCCATTTCTTCTGCAGCCGGCAAGGCTGGCAAGGCTTTCCTGAAGGCCTCTGTAGCTTGATAACAAAGCTCAGGATCGATCCAGAGCTCTGTTATTGACTGCAGAGGCCTTCAGGAGAAGCCTTGCCAGCCACAGAAGTAGTAGTTCCTGAAGGCCTCTGACAGCGAAAAGGAGGCTGGGGGTGATGCGCACAAGTGAGGTTAGTCAGTGGACAACATCCCCCGAAAATTAGACCTGGTGCCTTTTTTGGTGGCAAAAAAATAAGACAGGGTCTTATTTTCAGGGAAACACAGTATTAACTTATTATATATTATATAAAGTTATATTAACAATCAGTGGATCAGCTTGCCTCCAGAAATCGTAAGTGCTCCAACACTGGAGGTTTTTAAGGAGAGACTGCACAGCCATTTGTCCAGAATGATATAGGATTTCCTTCCTGAGTAGTAGGTTGGACTAGAAGACCTTCCAACTCTATTATTCTGTTATTCTGTAAAGTCAAACTAACATAAAGCAAACCACAAGGGGGCGCTGCAGAGTTAAGAAATTATTTTCAATGAAGTCCACCCCACTTCCAAATCTTTGGGCCTACTGATTTTACAATGTATTAAAGAGGCAAGGGCAATATTTATTATTTCAGAATTCTAGTGTTAGCAACACGCTCTCTCTTTTTTAAAAAATCTGCTTTTTCCAACAGAAAAGGGGTTCCCAACCAGGGATGTGAGATGATATTCAGGGAGGGAGCGAAAACTTGGGTTTAGAAGTTTCAAAATTATAGTGTATATGCATAATTATATGCATAATTTACTTTTGTAAGGGGTGTGAGAATATATCAGAAGCATTCTAGGGGTGCAGGGTATAGAAAAGGTTGGGAACCCCTGAAATAGAGGAAAAAAATTTCAAAGAGAGGAAAGTGTGTTGATTATTGAACAGGGATTTAGTTCATTCCCAAAATAACATCATCGAAGAGTTCCTTTGGGTCATTTTGATATGTATTCTTTGCAGGGTTACATCACTGCACAAACTCCCAAATTAATCATTTATCTAATGCGCGTTACACTCCTGCTACAAATACATATACAAATTGCATCCAACAGATGCCTTCAGGGATGCAATAAACACTTGTGCTTGTTGGTTGGTTTGTTTATATCCTGCTAAATTAAAACGATTCTTGGCGGGTTACCAAATAGAAAAAAGTAAAAAACATTCTTGGTAACAGTGGAAGTGTAACAGATCGCAATCCATAAAACCAACAATCACTGTCATGCCCCTGTCAGAGTCTGAATCCGAGGAGGAAGAGGAACAGCTGACAGGAAGTGGGAGTGTAGCTCCGTTGGCTGTGGAGGAAACTGGGGAAGGGCAAAGTCTGGCTGGGCAGAGCAGGAGAGAGATAGAACAAGGGAGAGGCAGTTCAGAGGAAGACCCAGGCCCACCCCTTCATCCTAGGGCACGCAGAGAGCAACATGGGTTGTGTGGCTTATGGGGGAGGAAAGGGCCCTGATTCCCTTCATTTGCCACACCTGGAAGATAGTTGATAAGAAAGGCAGGCTGCGTGCGGCAGGCTGTTGGGAGCAAACATGACTTTATCCTGTGTTATCGTGGCTTATCTGTGTTCCTGGCATCTTCCCAACCATGTGAGTTTTGCTGTCCCTTCAAGTCTGAAATTCTTGTTCCTGCCCTGTCAAACTAATTACTTCAGTTTGGCTTGTTTGGACTTTAAGTTACAGTTTGTGTTGCTCATGTTTTGGACTGAATTTTCTGCAGTCAAAGGCTGTTCCTGGGAGAGTTTTTCTCCAGCCAGAAGGTAACCAGGACATTGGAGGGGCAAAGTTGAAGCTAATAAAGAGACTCTTACTGAATATCTGACAGTGTTGCCTTTGTGCCACACCTGGGGTCATCACCCAGAAGGATTGAAAAAATATAAAAGCAATCTAAGTGAAGGCGAAAGACTACATGTTTAAAAAAGTGTGTGGGGGGGCCTCTGATGCAATTACAGGAAGTCCTCAAGTTACTACCACAATGGACCTCCAAATTGATGTTGCTAAGTGAAACATTTGTTCTGTGAGCTCTGCCCCATTTTGCAACTTTTCTTGCCACAGTTGTTAAGTGAATCACTGCAGCTGTTAAGTTAGGATCCTGGTTAAACCTCTGTAGAGATTGTCAGTCGTCCAGGTCATGGTTGTCCCAGAGGTGCTTTTTTCAGAAGGCAACTGGACTTTCTTGTTTTTTCTTTTGAAGACATTTCACTTCTCATCCAAGAAGCTTCTTCAGCTCTGGCTGGATGGTGGGGGAATGGAAGGATTTATACTCCTTGCAGACAGCTGGTCATTTGCATTCTTTTTAGAGGGTCATTGAGGCCACTTGGAGGTTTCTCTGTGTCCTCAGGGTCACCTGAGTAGTGCAAATGGTTCCTGTAGTCTGCAATTTTTCCTCTGGAAATCCATTCCTACTCCCACTTCATCCAAAATTGTATAGCTAAAAGTCTGTACAGATTCTCAGTCATCCATGTCATGGTTGTCCCAAAGGTGCTTTTTCAGGAAGCAACTGGACTTTCTCGTTTCTTCTTTTGAAGACATTTCAAAAGAAAAGACGTTTATCCAAGAAGCTTCTTCACCTCTGACTGGATGGTGAGGAATGGAAGGATTTGTACTCTTTGCAGACAGCTGGTCATTTGCATCCTTTGAGAGAATCGTTGAGGCCACTTGGAGGTTTATCTGTGTCCTCAGGGCCACCTGAGTGGTGCAAATGGTTCCTGTAGTCCTGTAGTTAGTAACTCAGTTGTGTTTAGTGAACTTGGCTTCCTCATTGACTTTTTGCTTGTCAGCAGGTCACAGAAGGGGACCACGTGACCTTGGGACGATGCAACCATCATAAATGTGAGTCAGTTGCCAAGCGCCTGGATTTTGATCACAAGACCACGGGGAGACTGCAAAGGTGGCAATGGTGAAAAGGGGGTCCCAAGTCGCTTTTGCTTAGGGCCATTGGAACTTTGAACGGTCACTAAATGAACTGCTGTAAGTCAAGGACTTCCTGTACGCCATCAACCAATTCCAAAAATATCAATCAGCAAGGCGAAGACAAATAATAATAAAAAATAAGGCTTTCTGGACCGTCTAAAAACAAGGAATTTTCAACAGGTTTGGCCCTCAGTGTTCTAATGCAGGGGTCCCCAAACTTGGCAACTTTAAGACTTGTGGACTTCAACTCCCAGACTTGTAGACTTCAACTCCCTGGAGAATTCTGGGAGTTGAAGGCCACAAATCTTAACGTTGCCAAGTTTGGAGACCTCTGTTCTAATGGGTTGGTCCAAATGCTGGTTGGAGAAGGCGGATCCACGGATATCTGCAAGCCAAGCCTAGTCTTAGTGGATCTCAGTGCAACAGACGTGGCAGTGGAACAGATCTGCTTTCCAGTGGTCAAACCAGGTTTCCTTGAACTTGGGCTGTGTTTTAAATGGCTTCCCTCCAGATGTTGCAGACATCACTGGAGCTTTTCAAGAAGAGATTGGGCAGCCCTTTGTCTGGAACAGTATAGGCCAGGTGTCAATCTCGATTCAGGGTTGTGTTGGACCTCGGAGGGGGGGCACAGCAGGGATGGGAGTGGTCCAGGCTCCATTTTTGGCCACGACGGCCTCCTAAAGCCCTCTGCCAGCGAAAATGGATTTTTTTGGGGGGGGGTGTCCCCCGGCCTCTGTTTTTGGCCACGACGGGCTCTTGCAACCCTCTGCCAGCGAAAACGGAGCTCGGCACACAGCCCTCCAAAGTTCCATTTTCGCTGGGGGAGGCCCCGCAGGCCGGTCCTTCATTGTTTATGGGGCGGCCCCGCAGGCCTGAACTAAGCACCCCGGGGCTGAATCTGGCTCGTGGGCCTTGAGTTTGACATCTCTGGTATAGGCTCTCCTGCTTGAGCAGTGCTGTGGTTCGCCGGCAGCCTCTGCAGACAGCAGTGGAATCGGACAATGGGAAAGGACCGGGACTAGTCCGGGAGTCTAGAGAGGACTCGGATGAGGGTGTCCTGTGTCCGATGCAGAGATGGGGCCAGGACCATCTGGGAGTGGGGTGCTGCCTCCGGAGTCTGGCAGCAGCAAGGCAGAGGACCCAAGGGAGCTTGTTCTCAGTGCGTGTATGCACAGAGCTGCTAGAAGCCAAGAGCAGCTAAGACAAAAGGGGCGACTCGGGAGTAAGGCTTGGAGGTGATTGCCCCTCCCCTAAGGTATAAAGGAAGTACAAAGGTAGGAAAACCTTTGCAGGAATCAGTCATTCGCTCAGTTCGGATTAAACCATGAAGCTCTGTGTACTTTGGTTTTTTCTTGTACTTCGGTTGGTTTCTTTTATAATTAATTGGATACTTCTGTTTTTGGCAGCATTCCACCGAACTGAAAGGTGTGTGCTTATCTTGGGGAACTGTTTAAGATTACTCTGTTTGGCTTTTTACAGTTCATTTGGCACTTTAGCTGTTGGCAGCAATTCAAAGGAGAGAAAGGTGGGTGCTTATCTCAAGGGACTGTTTGAGACTCATTATGGGCTGGGAATGAACATAATTCCCAGCGTTGAAATAAAACAAGAGTTGTTTTAATTAAACGTGTGCTTAATTACGGGCTTGGGAAGCCTTGGTCAGAACAAGCTGGAGGTTGGACTAGAGGACCTCCAAGGTCCCTTCCACCTCTGTTATCCTGTTAAACTAGTCTCTCATTCCGTGATTTGGTTCAGAAGAGAAACAGAACTGCTTATCTATCCCATGCCAAATTTCAACCCCACGGGAGCCCTTTCCCAAAGCGAACCGCAGACAGGAGCATTGGCTAAACCCAACCCAAGTTAAAGGATGAACGTTATTGGGTGCAATCATCATAGGTGGGAGGTAAAAAAGAGCAAGGAGAGAAAGTAAGACCTGGGGGGGGGGGGGGGAGAAGGAAAATAATGCAAATTTCGAAGAGAGAGATTGAATTATCCCCATCTCAAAGTTTAATGCCAAGAGTCTCTTGGGCAGAAATGAACAGTCCAGCCGTAACTCATTTGGGCCACTGTCTGCTAAACTGACCGAGAGCACGGAAACATTTTTTAAGCACAGGCAGTCCTCAACGTACAACCAAATTCCCATCGCTAAGAGAGAGACAGCTGTTAAGGTGAGGTTTTGCCCCATTTTACGACCTTTCTTGCCACCATCGTTAAGTGAATCACTGCAGTTGTTGAGTTAGTAACATGGTTGTTCAGTGAATCTGGCTTTCCCATTAACTTGGCTTGTCGGAAGGTTGCAAAAGGGGAACCACGCGGCCCACAGGGACACCGCGACCATCGTAAATATGATCACATGATCAAAATTCAGATGCTTGGCTAACTGGGTTCATATTTATGACGGTTGCAATGCGCAACGATCACTTATTGGCCTTTTGCAACCTTCTGACAAGCAAAGTCAATGGGGAAATTGGATTCACTTAATTAACGGTGTGACTAAATTTAACAACTGCAGTGATTCCCTTAACAACGGTGGCAAGAAAAGGCATAAAATCAGGCCCTCACGTAAACAAAGGTCCCACTTAACTTAGTAGTAATTTGAGGCTCAATTGTGGTCGTACGTCAAGGACTACGTGTAAAACAAAATTCATTCTGCACAGGTTCTTTAACATGTATTTTTTAAACTTTTTAATAAATGCTTCATCGTTCATAAGGATGAGTCATTTTCTGGGGAGGGCTGGTGGTGGAAAGAGCTAGTGTTGATATTAGGGGGTTCAGAAACACCATTACCTTTTTTGGTGAAAAACTCCTTGGAATATTTTCCCAACACTGCGTATTTTCGAGGGATTTTTCCCAGCAGTTCAATGATCAATGCTATGTGATCTGCATTGGAGCATATTTCCAGCAAAACAGAGAAACATACAACAGTTTAATCAATACACGGCATGCACACAAGGAGAATGGCCCGGTACAGACAGAAACAGACCGGCCGTCCTGTTGAAAACACAGAGACGCGAATGTTGCTTGCAGCGTGAATTTAGGAGGGGGGGAGTTCGAATCAGAGGGCCAGGCCGCCTTGTGGGACAGCAAAGCACCCAATCCTTCGTAGCTTTTAAGTCCTAAATATATAGATAAGACAAGAGACAGAAAGATAGATTAGATATAGATAGATATAAACAAATAGATAGAATAGAGATATAGAGATAAATAGAGATAGAGATAAATATAGATTAGATAGATAGGTATAGATAAATTAGATATAGATACCGACATATAAATTAGATAGATATAGATATAAATTAGAGAGATGATAGATGATAAAGATGATAGATAGATAATGATATAGAGATATAGATATAAATTAGATAAATAGATTGAAATAGATATAGATGAATTAGATAGAGAGACAGATAAATTAGATGAGATAATGATATAGAGATACAGATAAATTAGATAATAGAGCGATAAAGCAATAGATTGATAGATAATGATGATATAGATGATAGATATAAATTATAGAGTGATATAGATATAAAGATATAAATAGAGTGATATAGATAAATTAGATATATAGATGAGATAGATAATGATATAGAGATATAGATAAATTAAACAGATAGATAATGATATAGAGATATAGATACAAATTATAAATAGAGCGATACAGATATATAGATAATCAGATACAGAGACGTAGATAAATTAGATATATAGATGAGATGATAGATATAGAGATATAAATTAGATAGATGGATGATAGATAGATAGATAGATAGACAGACAGACAGACAGAGATAATGATTAGAGAGACAGAGATAGATAGATAGATAGATAGATAGATAGATAGATAGATAGATAGA